CAAGTCCTATGCTAATTTTTATTTTTACTTGTGACTGGCTAAAAAGGTGTGTGTCATCAAGCATGCAAGTTCACATGCCAGCTCTGCCATTCTTGTCTGTTTACCCTGAGGGTTCATTAATCTTTCTTGTCAGAAAAATCTTTGTGTGTGCCTGATGCCCTGAATAGTTGTTTGGCTGTTTCAAAGGTGATCCTCCTGCCTGCTGGATGTGCTTTGGTTTGGTATGATAAATGCTTGCTTTTTTTTCCCCTTCCCCCTCCTTCTGCATGGTGCATTTGACTGTCAGCATTCCTTTGTCTTTATCTGTGCACTCTTTAGGATGTCCATATAAAGTTGCTAAATGGAATTTTTATTGGCTTGGCTTAATAATCAAACACTTTCCAGGCTGGTTCTGTCTAGTGCTGTGTGGATCCATTCTGAGAAAGAGGACTCTCTCTTGGCTTTTTTGCTTTTTTTTCCCCCCCCTTTTCCACAGACTTTTGTTGGGGATATTGCTTATTCAAAGGTTAGGGTTTAATTAATTTCTGGAAAGGCTGCTTTGTTAGATTAAGTAAGGCCTGAGTCATATCAGCCTGGAACATCAGCATCCTAATTGGAAATTAGTGTATCGTATCGGTGTATTGTGCAGAAAACCACAAAATGCATAGTGCAAGTAGCCCTTGAAATGTAACACCAAAACAAAGAAAAGCAAACAGGATATTGTGGTTGTGTAGTAAATAACATTTCAACAAAATGTAATGTTGAGCTTTAAATTGTGATAATCTTTTACACTCAGAAATTACCTAGAAATTCTGGTGGCTGTCTAAATTCCATGGAAATCAGGAAGCTTAAACTGGTACCTTTTGAGCAGGTGAAATCATTCCTGTGTTGAACTAAATTATTTTTCATCTGTAGTAGGTGTTTGACTTTCAGTTCTAATGTCCTCACATTAAGTAATCATGCCCACATTTAGTGTCTGTTAATTATCAAAGACAATGCAAGTTTAAATAATTAAGCAGTCTGTAAATCCTCCTTCAGATAGGTGGAATTGCTTCATGAATTACAAACCAGGAACTCTCTGGACCTGGGTGGTTACTACTTTACTGGGTACTACTTTGTTCATAAAGTGAGTTGCTCAGACTCTAGCCTAGGAGGAGATTACATAAATTTGATGTTGCCCAGAGAACGTCTGTTTAAAATAGAAGTTACAGTATATCATCACCTGCCTGGGTTTTTGTTGGTGCCTTTGAAGCTTTCAATGAAGTTGGGAGACAAACTGCATCTCAGGAATGTGCTGTGATGTTCTGAATATTTATTACTGTTCTGTTTTCTGCCTGAGGAAGGGAAGAGGGATTGTGGTGAGTGAGGGGAGCGCTGGGTCACACAGATGTGCAAGAGGCTGCTGCAGCATCAGCTCTGCTGGGGATTGCTTGCAAAGTGTCCCCTTCGTTTCAGGTGGTGGCAGAAGTGCTTTAGGTGCCCCTGTGCATGTGTCCAGTATTACACCTGACCTGGGCTACTCAATCAAATCACTGCAGTCTCAGCACTGGTATCCTCTGCTCCTGTCTCCAGGTGTCTTTACCACCACATATTGACTTGGAAAGTTGTAGTCTGATCTGTATTAATCTGTGTTTCCATCTGAGACAGATGGAAAAACTCAGTATGGGGGAGCTCTCTATTTCAGCTTTGTTTTGGGCTTAGCTAGTTGTAGTCTGGCTTGGGAACTGGAAATGCAGATTGTTTAGTTACACCTACAGACGTGTTTCTTTACAGGTTTGGATACCTGACTAAGAATGATCTGTTACTGATTTAGTTTTAGCAGAAAACTGTCAGTGTGTGCCTGCTCTTGCTGGTGTGTCAGCGACGCAGGATTCATAAATGATCTGTGTATTAGAGCCTTCCGTGACTCCTTTGCCCTCTTTGGCACCAGGGTGAGTTCAGCTTTCTTCAGGTTAGATTGCTATTATTCACTTTATTTTACAAAGGGATTTTGTTTACCAAAATCCAGGTGGTCATTCTTCAGAGCCTTTTTTCTCTACAGTAATAATTGCAGGGCTGAGATTGTAATTCACCATTTCAGGAGTTCTGCTGGTAGTGATGGTGGAAAATATAGGGTGAACAAGGTTTAGACAGTATTTTTCAAGGAAAAAGTATAATCCAAGCAGTTTAGTGCTATAAAAGTTCAAGTATCTGAATGTTGTCCATGCTAATAAATTCTGGGTACTATAAGCCACAAAGCAATGAATTTGCTGGAAAGCTTTAAGGAGAATAAATTAAAAACCACTACCCGAAGATGGATATGTAAGGGAACTTTGAGGAATTGGGACCAAATTCTCATTGACAGAGTTTCACAGAGAGGGGAAAATACCCTGATGTTTTCTGAAGCTTGGCTGGGAGCAGTCTTGTTTGATAATCATGTAGCAACTCAAGTTAAACATTCAGAGTTCAAGGGGAAAGCAGTTAGCATAAAATACCATTTTGATTGAGGTTTTTTGTGGCATAAACTGCGTTCCAGGGCTTCCATCAGATGACCCATATATCTTTCATCAAAGCATGTTATTTCCTCTTTGGCTTTCTGTTTAATATTAACTCTGTCTGCACTGCAATTTCTTTTTCACTGGTCTGCAGGGTCTGTTTCTGACTCCCTCCAAGGTGAATCACTCCTGTCAGGTGGAGATGTGTGGTGCCCACTGCCTGCCACACTGCAGTTCTGTTCCTATCCCATGCAAGGGGTCGGAGATGGCATGCTGCAGAGTTTTTGAGGCTTGATGCTAATTTGAAAGGAACATGGATGATGTTTTTATGTCCATTATTTTCTTTTGTCTTACTGTAGCTGAAGATAAACAGATCAGACTGACCAATGAGCAAGAGTGCACAAGGGTGTCCCAAAAAGTGCTTGTTCTTGAGATATTTGCTGAATGGCTGGCAATGCTTCTGGTTTGACCATTGCCTTCTCCATAGCACAGCTCATACCACTACATTTTTCTGTCCCTGTTACCCCTGAGTACAGTCACAGATGTATTTTACTGTCTCTTGCTTTCAAAACCTAAATTAATCTTGTGTAATGATTAATTAGCCTTATATTTGCATGGGGATGAACTTTAAGTGGAAGAGATGCTTGGCTGTGTAAATGGGCTCAAGATGATGAACTGCATGACTCTATAGCTGGTGAAGTGTATCTCCAGACTGAAGCACAATTTGTAAAACACAGATAAACACCAAGTACATACAAGTACACAGTACAGCAGATGTGGCACTTGGGGACATGTTTTAGTGGTGGACCTGGCATTCCTAGGTTAATGGTTGGACTTGATGGTCTAAAGGGTATTCTCTATGATTCTGAGAGAAAACCCTTTAACCTGACCTCCATATGTTTAATGCTAATATAACAGTATTGATTATGTATGTATCTCTAAAATCTGCCAGATGAACAATATTAACATCTATCAGTGGGAACACAAGAAAGTCTTGTGAGTTTGTGTGCAAGACCTCAATTTCAGGACTGTGGTTTACAAAATATACTTTTGTTGTCCAGCAGTCTTCAAAGGCAGGTCACTGTTGTAATTTTGTTTTACTTATGTGCCAAGAGAAGGGTAAAGATCTGTGCATGTTTCCATGGATATTTTGGTGCTTCGTATGTTTTTTTCTCTGCTCTCCCCATGCTCTAAGTCGCTTGCTGGATTCAAGGGTCATTTCCTGTTTGCAGAACTCCTACTAACATTAGTAGGGCTGTTGTGCAAACATGTGGGGCTTCAGTATGGCCTCTCTTGTCCTTCCTATTTTTGCTTTTTTCTATCTGCCAGCCATCTAAATAAGCACAATTGTCTCTGCTCTGTGGATATGGTGGGTACTCATGTGGGTGGGATTCTCAAAAGGTGTTCTGTCTCTCTGAAACATCTGTTGTCATAAGTCTTCCACTTCTAAATCCAGATCCAAAAATTTAGCATTTTTGTCTCTGCTGGTAGAAACTGCTTAGAGGGAGATAGATCTGCTTTGCAGTTTTCTGCAGGGCCAGTTCTGCAGAGATACTGGTTGAGCCAGAAAATCCAAACTGATCTCCTCCTTGGTGCCTGCCTTGTCATACCCTGTGCATTTTTCAGGAAAAGGGAGGGTAGCAGGATGAACAAGAACAGCTAGCTATAAGGTATAAATATGCTCCATTAATCCAGATGGTCTTATCCTGCCTTGGTACTGGTTGCAGGTTTATTGTAAAGACTTGGTGTAGTACAGTGAGCTTTTGTACTGTCTCAGTCCTTTCTGTGCTTAAGGTATTGAGATATCAGTCTCCTTTGTCTGCTGTCAGCCTCAAAGAGATGTTATTTCATAAACCAGTTAGCTGAATTCTGTTAGGAATTGACTAAATTCTTTATGTGAGGGTGGTGGTCGGGTGGTGGAGTGTGACTTTCCTTCCTAGAACTGGTCCTTACACGTGCTGTAATACCCATTGCTGCCTCCACACATGTCTGAAGGAATATTTAGGCCCTTGGAAATGACTTTTCAGGCCTTATGAAACAAATTTTGTTTTTGTGGTTCACCAAAACATCTTGCAGCCCTGTCTCTTCCCTGAAGAAGGCAAGATTTTCCCCAGTTGCCATCCTCTGCAGAATCGTTCCTGGACCTGTTGTGCCAACACCTCCTCACGCAGCCATTGCTTTGGCAGAATTGCTTTAGCAGAAGGGACAGACAAAGGCAGCACGGTTACAGCCATGTGGCATGGGGGGACACAACTGCCTCAAACACCCTGGTGACTTTCTGGAGGGTGACCAGAAAACCATAGCAGCCCCGGGAGAAAACTATAATTGATGCCCTAATGGAGAGCTTTTAGCTGCCAAAACACAAACCTTCCCCTCAGATTTCTGCTGTGCTTTAGTGCCTATCGATTACTGGGGCAAATGCATTATGTTAGCAAAAATAAGCTTTCCCTGATCAAACGTATGCTTTATCAGCCACATAAATGCCAGCATGACTCTCTCATTGCTACAACATATTAAACACCTTGGAAATGTTTCCTTAAACTCTAGGTCAGTCTTATGAAATCCGTCTACTTGAGAATAGGAAATTGGGAGAGTTTCAAGATTTAAACACAAAATATGTAAAGGTAAGGAGAAATATAGATTTCTTTTCTTCCTGCTACTACATACAGCCTTTAATGAAGGGCCTGACCTTGCTCCCACTGAGACAATGGAAAACACTTTGCCATTGTTTTTAATGGGAGCAGGGGTGATGGAGTTGTTGAGTTCTAGTTTCATGGGACTATGCAGCTTGGCTTTGCAGGGCTTCAGGGGAACCTTTATTCTGTTTATGATCATGACCCCAGAGTTTCACTATGAATATTGGGTTCAGGGGAATCCCAAAGTTCAGTGGTGAACATGGTCAAAGATGTGGAGAGGCAGACTTGTCTCCCTACTGAATTGCAGCAACGTGCCTGGGTTGTTACGTGACAAATAGAGGGCCCAGGTGTTTACATAGTTCTGCCAGGCAGATTCTGTATAGCTCCAGTTTACTTTGGTAATGGGCATAAGGGTGAACATAAAGAACTTGATCCTTTGGTTTGGGGGACTATTTCCTGTTGTTTCCTCCACTGCCAAAATAGTTCAAATTCAAAAATGTTGGTCTGGACCCTGGTTCTGGATCTAACCTTCAATTCTTGGCTGTTCTGCCTCAGGACTTCCTTTGAGAAGTGGGAACTAGTTGCAAAATTTGCATTCCAATTTGGATTTCAAATGTTGTCCAAGTTTAGGCTGTTCCCTATTTGTCTTTTTGCCCATTTCAAGTAGTATGTGGATTGGGATTCCAATTTTGCAGGTGTTCCCACTGTGGCTGGTTTGCATTTTGAGGCTAGGGTTTGATTTGGACATTTCTCAGGTTCACTGGCAAAAATTGGTCACTCACTTGATACAGAAGTCCCCAGCAAGAGTGTGGGCTTGAGAAACTGGGATGTTAGGGCTCATAAACTCATGTAAAGTATAGCACTCTGAATATTCAAAAGAACACATTCGTTAGGAGTATTTAGGACTTGTCTGTCCTGGGGATTGCCTTTATTCCAGCCTTTTTTCTCCAGTTATTGGCATGGCTGCACCATTGCAGACTGGCCTGCTGTCAGGAGCTTTCCATCTCTACCTACCCTTGTTTAACTACTCTGGGGCACATCCAATGACTGGCTCTTAATGGCTGGAATTAGGTTTAATTCCCACTGACAAGGTGTTCTGGACATGTCGGCTCCATTGGTGCAGGGACAGGTGAGCTGGCTTCCACATTTGCACATCAGAATGGGATATACTGGGGTTGGGACATGGTATAGACACATTAACTATTACCCCCCATGAGCCTTTTGGGGTATTGAGGCAGTATAGTGATGTTCACATGCCATGACACCTAAGATTAGGTGGACATTGCTATAGTGCTTCCAGAGTGAATCCCAGAAAGCTGTACAGGGCTGTGTTACTCCTGTAAGATGTGCCCTGTGAAGGGGGAAGTGTGTTTCTCTCTCAGGGGTCCCTTAGGAATGTGATACACATGATGATGGGTCTCTTAGGTGGACCCTTCTACTCTCCTCATGAATTGGGTTGAGAAACATAACAGATCAGCTTTTGCTTCTACTCTGGAAAACCAAAGTCATCTTGAGAGAGGATTCTGGATCACATTGCTCATATTGCTATCTTTTTTTAACAGAGTATAATTCGTGTAGTTTTCCACGACCGCCGCCTGCAGTACACAGAGCATCAGCAGCTCGAGGGCTGGAGATGGAGTCGGCCTGGGGACCGCATCCTTGATATAGGTGAGACTATTTCCTTGTGGCACCTCTGCAGTGTTGGGGAGATGAGTGGTGTTTGCACCTAAACATGTGTGTTTAGGTTTTTTATGAGTCCTCTATGTCTTTGGGAGGGAAGGAGATCTAGCACTATAGGTCCCAAGTAGAGATGTCTTTGATGGCTTCGCTTTCACATGCATGTTCTGATGGTATGGAAATGCTTTCTCCTCTTCAATTTAATATTTTTAAAATTTTAGGGGTTTTCTTCTACAGATATCCCGCTGTCAGTTGGTATCTTGGATCCCAGGGCTAGTCCGACCCAGTTGAACACTGTTGAATTTCTCTGGGATCCGTCAAAGAGAGCTTCAGCGTTCATTCAGGTAAGAGATTAAGTCATATTTCTATAGTAAATACAGTGGTTAGATATCTTTTAAAGACCTGGGGAGATAAAATAGCCAGTACATGAACAGGAGGGAAGGATGTTAATGATAATTACTAACTCATGTGACAATCATGCGTAATTAATTTGTAGGATACTCACTAAATCAGTTTGCTGGCTACTTGTTAATGTTGGAGTACTACCTTCTGCTGCCAGGATTTTCTTTAAAAAAATACTCAGACGCTGGTGTTGCTTTCATGGATAGGTGTTGTCTTGAGGAAACGGTTCATAACCTGTTAGTTTTCCTTGCTTTCCTCTTTCATGCCTGTTTCTCATTCTGAGCATCAGCTATCTGTTTTTAATTTGAATGAGGGATTTACTTAAATCAAAGGATGCTTTTCCTGATGCCCTGTTTCTCTCTGAGCTGCTGGTTCTTCTGATTTTTGTCCAAAGGAACAGAAATGAAAACAAATGAACACACCCTTAGTTTTTTGTGAGGAGTCAAAACCTCATGTTCAGGCAGTATCTGAAATTCAGATGAGCACAGGTTCCAACTGTCTCCAGAGATGAGCACAGCTTCTGTTTTGCCAGGTACATTGCATCAGCACAGAATTCACTCCACGGAAGCATGGAGGAGAGAAAGGGGTGCCCTTCCGGGTGCAAATCGACACCTTTAAGCAAAATGAAAATGGTGAATACACAGAACACTTGCATTCTGCAAGCTGCCAGATCAAAGTGTTCAAGGTATGAGGTAGTTTTGGCTTTGTCATCAACTAGATTAAGGCACAGGAATGTGCAAAGATTTCAGATTGTGTAGGATCAATGCAAATATTGGAGTAAAAGAACAGACTTTTAACTGGGTATGCTTAAGGTCTTAAACAGGACTCCTGTGCACATGGTGGCATAAACACTGACCTGCACAGCAATTCTAGCTGAAGTGTTGTACCAGGACTTGTGCCAGTCCATTGTGCCTCAAACACTACAAAAATTCTGAAATATTTAGAGTATCCAATGTGTTTTGATGCTTCTAGGCAATCAAGACATAAGGGCATCTTCAGTTTCTTTGATTGAATCCTACACAAACAATAAAATGTTATTGTGGAGCTCTTAAATACCATTGTTGGAGCAGAGTTTGACTCTGTGATACCTAGAGGAGAAAAAGATTCAAAGAAAAAGCATCTTTGAAGCTCCTAATCCAGGCATGGCAGACCTATAGCTACTTAACAACAAACTCTCCATTGGCCTGTTTTCTCAAGGGATCTGCTGCTCCACTTTTGTTCCTGTGAGCAGTGTCTTTCCTCTTTCTGGAAAGATGGTACAAATGCCAGTTGAGGTGCATAACTTATGGACTGAAATAGTTGGAATCACATCTCATGACTGTGGTCAGCTTATTTTAGAATTGCAGTAGGCGTTAGTGGTGGATGTACAGGAACAGTAGGGATTTTTGATTAATTATTTTGTCTAGAAAATGTAGATCTGATCTCGTTTCATATGTAGAATTCCTATAAATCTTAAGGAGGCTTTGGGGAACAGATTAGATAAATCTGTTGGCCTCTATCTTCAAACTTGTAATACTTGGCATAAGGGAGAGCCTGTGCTTGTACTTATAGCCTAAAGGAGCAGACAGAAAACAGAAGACTGACAGGGAAAAAATGGAAAAGAAGACCATCCAAGAGAAGGAGAAGTATCAGCCTTCCTATGAGACAACTATTCTCACAGAGGTAAAGTGTTTTAGATACATCATACAACATCATGTTAGGAGATAAATGTAAAAGAAAACAGCATCTGAGCCCTGGAGATTGTCTTGTGGAGACACGTATGCTCAGATCTGAGTGAAACTGAGAGTGGAGCAAAATTATAAAATGACTCACTGCTGAAATTTATGAAAGATGCCAAAGTTTTTTATGTTTTGGGGTATAAACCAACCCTTAGCAGCCTGGCTTTAAAAAAAACCCAAACCAACTTTCTCAATTTCCACTGTGCCTCTGGGCACTTGTCATGGCCTCAGGTGCCAGTTGTATGAAAATACAATTGTCTGTATATTTTTTCAGAACTGCTTGGCAAAAGCTCCTGTTGGAGATGGGGCACTTGAACAGATGCTGATTAAATTATTAATTTGTTTTTCTGTGAATGTGCCTATGAAGCTGTTGTCACATGCAAAATCTGAGAAGATTCTAGGTTGTACTCTAGTAATATCTTGTGTCTTATATTCTGATACATCTGGTGTAGAGTTGTATGTGTTTCTGCCCCTCCCTGTCATTACTAAGATGTTTGTATAAACTTACCATAGGCTGCACAATTAGTCAGCAACAGGACACAAGAAAGGGATTTAAAATTGTTGTTCAGTCTCTCTATGGGAATGACTTGTTGCTTGATTTAGTTATTATTTTTTTTGGAGCAGCTTGCTGGACTTCAAAAAATGATGTTAATTATTCTTAATTTCTATCAACTTCCTGTTTGTGAGATCCAGTCTCTCCCACTCTATTTTCCTCACGTTGCCAGGAGCAACCAGTATGTTTTCTGATTGACAGACCTAATTCTACTGAGCTGGCAGATCCCAGACTCTCCCTATGAGCTTTGATGCACTTTGACATATTGTGTGGGGAAATGTGGGTTGCCAAAGAGTTAAATATTTGCCAGTACTTGTGGAGATGATAAAATATTTGCTAGTGTTTGTGGAGATAATAAAGCTCCAAAGCTACACTTGCTGTCTTTTTATCATTTCAAACAAGGCCACTACAGAGCATTTTCTTGAGCTCTTAGTGGTGGGGGGTTCAACAGGGCTAGATTTCTCCTGCTGATTACTGTGGCTTAAATTCAGAACAGAGTCACCAATTCTAGCTGTGTTACTCTGGTTTTACACTACTGTCATGGAATGTGGAGTCTGACCTATATTTGTGAAGGCTTTTAGTAGCTTTGTGTCTATCTTAAATTTTCCCCATCTAATATCCATTTATGACTGTGCTGTTCGACTAATGGCCAGAGATTTCAGCAGGCTGGTTAAAATTCTGCTCTTTTGCTGGTATAAACCTGAAGCAATGCCACTGGAGCATTTTTGTCACTCTTGCCTGGATTTAATTAGGGGTTTATAATTGAGACCAGGGGTATTTCTGTATCATTGCTGCCTTCAGTCTGAGTTGACTTACTGGCATTGCTTTGACTTACAGCTGTGCACACTTTGGCCCAGTGTTATTTGGGGACAGGCTTTGTGAAATGGGAGAAATATGGAATGCACAACTGGAATCAATCTGGCCCCCTGACAGCCTGCTTGGAGAGCAGTGTAGAAAATCCATGGCCCATCTCCTCTTCCCAGCAGGAGTGATGAGCTGAAGTTAGTGGCGTGGCAACAGCATGAATGTGGTATTAGAGGAGAATCAAATCTTTTATTTCCATCCTTATGAAAGTTTCCCTGCTGCCTTTCTTCCAACAGTGCTCTCCCTGGCCAGATGTGCCTTATCAAATGAACAATGCTCCCTCTCCAAGCTACAACAGTTCTCCCAACAGCTTCAACCTCGGAGATGGGTATGTAACAAATACGTGCTTTATGTTTCCTGTTGATATGGTAGCCTTTGTGTATCCATGCATTTCATACCCTGGAAGATGATACTAAGGATCACCACCCTTTCTAGCGAGGAGGAAGTATTTTCCAAGAGTCTTTAAGACCTCCCATCCAGGAATTCCCTGCAATGTAGAGTGCTGTTTGTACGTGCACTGTTTGTGGTGGCTGGAAGGTGAACATCAGAGGGCCTCCAGGGCAGTTCCTGGTGAGAACTCACCATGCAATCCCCAGTATCTTCTCACAAGTGTGTTAGAGGCTTTCAGAACCTCTTCAGAGTTGGTATTTCTTCCGTACTTTGTCTTGTGATAGTTTGGGGTGCTGAATTCCAAGTGAATGACATGTAAAGAAATCCTGTTTGGGGCAAAACAGCCTGGGTTTTGAGATGCCATTTCAGAACAAAGGACTAATGAAGGCACGTTTAATTCGTAAAATAGCCATCATAATGAGACAGCTCCAGTGCTTCTGAAATGCTGAAGATGATAACTGGTGTCAGAAAGGTACAGCAGTGTCCCTCGGTACTTAGGAGTCCTCCCTGCTACATACTTCCCCTTAGGAATTTGGCATAGGCCTTTCTCTTTTGGTAGGACTCTGCTGTCTTACTGCCTTCCCACACAACTTAATTACCAGGTTGTATTAATCCATGTTGTATCACTAATTTGCAATGAATCCCCTCAACCTATGAGAAAGAACCAACACTGAAATGACAAATTTTTGTGTTAGTAGAGAGATCTGAGTACTTTTTTTTCCTTTGGTAAAATCCCTGATATGTTTAGGAGTCCTGTCTGTGTTTAGGAGAATTTAGTAGAAATGTGGTTTGTGCATGATTTATTGCATTTGGTTATGTTTAAGATAACACCAGGGTTGAATTATAAAGTCCTTGATTCAATTTTTGCAAAGAATTATTATTAGACAGTGGATTTAGCTAGGATATTTCTGACTTACAGAAATTTCAAGTTCAGTCACCCTGTAGGTTACAATTTTCTTGCTTAGATGATGTCATATTTGTGAGTCAACCATATCCATAAGCTTGATTGAGGTCAGTAAGCCTGAGTTTTTCTCTCAGTCTTGAGGAGGACCTCAACTGACCAACAAAAGACTCAGGTAGAGAGGGTTTTTTTTATTCTTGTTCCAAATTTTGAACACCTTTTTAAAAATCTGATAGAGAAAAAAAGCCAAGTTGGATGTAACTTCTGAAAGTTGAGTCAAATAGAGGAGGGGAAAGAAGATGGACACTGCAATGTAAAATTTAAAATAATGTTTTTTTTTTCTCTTCCAATTTTATATAATTTCTTTTAGCAACAGTTCTCCAACCCACCAAATGGAGCTCCTGCCTCCCAGCAATGATGTAAGTATTTGAGATCATGTTAATGTGGTGCTTTTCTCTTTTAGGACACTGGTGAACAGTTCATTTCAAGACCTTCTTATTCTTTTTGCAATGTAGCATCTCCTTCCTTCTGCTTCTATTCAAGATGCCCAGCAGTGGCTTCATCGTAATAGGTTCTCTCCATTCTGTAGACTCTTCTCAAGTTTTTCGGGTGAGTTTAAACAATCCAACTGGTTTTTTTTTCTCTTCTGTAAGTGAATCTCATGTAGCATCTGCTGCTGGCCACTTTTGATGGGATTCTTGGTCTGATCCAGTGTGGTTGTTCTTTCCTTCTTAGATTAGTTACCACTTGTCAAAACAGTTTTTAGACCTCTAGAGTAAGTAAAAATGGAAGAAAATAAATTAAGATGGAAGGGATTTCCTAATTTCATTAAGTGCAACTTCGAAGCAAGTCCAGGGCCTTGTGCAGTTGCCTTTGAATATCACCAAGGTTGGAATTCCACAGTCTCTCTAAACAACCTCTTCAAATACTTAACTATTCTGACAGTGAAAATGTTTTTTCTTCTATCTAATCAGCTTTTCATCTTCTGTCTGCTGCCTCTCATCCTGTCCCTGTGTACGTTTAAGAAGCATCTGGCACCTTCACGGTACCCTCCCATTAAATAGTTGTACACACCAGTAAGATGTGGAAGGGGCAGTGGTTGGATATGTTGAAAACACGAGGAGACTCTCTCTGACTTGCAGCATGATGAAATAACTCAGTGAATGTGACAATTACAGAGGACTGGGTCATTTAATGGCCAGTGTGAAATATCTAACTTGTTTATGAGTTGGCTGGAGTATTTTCCAGTGCAGCACTGTTCCTTTGGCAGCTTCCAGCTTTCTGTTTCACAATGATTTATTTGAAGTGCACACCTCTCTGAATTTGCAACTTCTATGTGTAAATCTATCTGGTTTAGCGTTGTGGATTCTCTACTCCCTCTACCCCTGCCCTTTTCTGCTGCCCATACATACTATTTGGAACCTAAGATTTGCTTAACTTCTGAAGAAAACTCAATTTGAAATATGTAGGTGCCGACTTACTGAAGATGTCCAAAGAAGATCTTGTTCAAATCTGTGGGCCTGCTGATGGAATTCGGCTCTTTAATGCAATTAAAGGAAGGTTTGTACTATTTCCTTCCTATTTTTTTTTTTTTAGGATCCCTTGATAATTTCAGTTTTAACCAGAAGTTAATCCTGGAGCTGTAATATTTAGATTTCCTTTTCATACTTCTCTCATGCTCTGGAGATCACAATGATACTCAAATCCAGGCACATGTCAGAAATGTTGCCAAAACGAAACAGCATAATGTGGATCTCTAGTGGTTTATTTGCTACCAGCTGATAGCTTGCATGCATTTCATGGGATACACAGCCTACAATACCCTATGCTGCATCTCCATCAGAGGTAACAAACAATAAAAAAACAAAGCCCTGGAGCCTCAAATGACTCTTCAGCTTAGTTTCATTGCAATAACCTCATAAATTCTACAGCTGAGCAGGATTTAAATCAGTAGAGGCAGGTATGATGAACTGTTTAACAAGTGCTATAAACTCTTTATTCTTATCTGATCTTGAAAAGATTAAGGTGCTCTGCATCACCTCCCAAAGGTCTCTTGCTAGACATCCTAAACCATCTAGTCACCAGCATCAAAACTGTCCCTTAGTTTGTTATTTATGCACGGCCTGAATGAGTCCATCTCTTGCAGTTTGATAGCTGTCCTGGAACTATTTCAGATCTACTAAATAACTTACTACTCTTTTTAATTAATCCATAGAAATGTAAGGCCCAAGATGACAATTTATGTCTGTCAAGAACCAGAGCAAAACAGGTCCCACCTCCACCAAAAACAAGAAAATGGAGATGGCAGCCTTTGTGGTAAGTTCTTATGTATGGATTTTGTTAAACACTTACCTGGTGAGAGTGCTGCTTTCTGCCTGAGCTCCTATGAGGGACAGCTGCATGTCCTTAGTGTTTGAAGGGATTCTGTTTATCCCAGTTTTGCCACTTTGGTTATAGTTTCACGGCTACAGATTCCAAAGGGTGCTGTCTGCCTGGGGGACAGACCCAGCTTACAAATTATCTGCAGAATACCACAGCAAAATCTCTATTCTGTTTTTAATAGGGGAAATAGCATTAAAAACCACCCTTCTATCCACAGTTTTCTTTAGATCATGTCTTGTTTGAAAAAATTCAGGGAAATGGAAGGTTGGTAGGTCTTAAAGTGAGGTTATAATTCTTGAAAGTTCAAAGCTTTTGGAAATTTGTCATCCTTCATGACACAATGTACAATCAAATGAGAACAAACATTACCCTTAAATCTTGCATTTAGTAATAAACAGGCACAGCTTTCCTACCTGGTAGCTATAATTTGGATTAGATTTCTAAAACAATACTGTCATCCATGTTGTTACCTTATACATAGTATGTTTTAGTTTGTGCCCATGGGATCAGTGGATGGTATCTAATAAAATACTGCTTTTGTGTGACATAGCATGTGTTTTACTCTTTGATTGAATTATTTTTTTTAACTTCAAAATCAATAAAAGGAGATTATCCGAAAATATAAGCTGCTTTACGAGAAGGCTGTTTTAGCGCCCCGTGATGCAAGTCGTAATTAGTCCCCGTGTTTTCCTCTGGGTAAAAGTTGTGTGTGCTTTAATTGCCTGCTGCATACAAATAGTGGGTATTTTTCTGCAAATCATCAAGCCAGATATTTGGGGGATGCTTTAAAATACTAAGCTTGTTTATTCCATTTGATCCTTCATCTTAAACCCAAACCCGTTTGGTTGTTGATGCTGAGTGACTTGGTGCCATCTGTATTTGTTGTTCTGTAACTGCTTTCCACTTGTTGCAGTGTATCATGCAATCTTCTTAGAAGAATTGACCATTCTGGAATTAATGGAGAAGATTGCAAACTTGTACAGCATTTCTCCACAGCAGATAAATCGGATCTACCGGCAGGGACCCACAGGGATCCATGTATTAGTGAGCAATGAGGTAAGGGGGCTAAAGGGGGTTACATCTTTGTCAGAGATGTAACAGTTGTCCAACTTCTTGAAGTTAGAATGAACTCTCAAATTATGGCATTTCAAGAGAGAATTATAAAGCCATCAATCCCAACAAGTTCGAGTAAATACCGGGAGCAAATCGGCCATGGACAGCACTGACTTCAGTGTGGTTTCAAGACCATTGTTTTTTAAAACATGTTTGGGTTCTTGTTTGGTTTTTTTAAGCCAAAGAAGACAAAATTGTTAATTTATTGCTCTCTACAACTACCTGAAAAGAGGTTGTAGCAATGTGGGGGTCTGCCTCTTCTCCCAAGAAACAAATGTCAGAATGAGAGGAAATGGCTCAAGCTGTACCAGGGAAAGTTTAGATTGGGTATTGGGAAAAAATTGTTTATTGAAAGGGTTATCAAGGATTGGAACAGGCTGCTCAGGGAAGTGGTTGAGTCACCATCCCTGAGGGTGTTTAAGTCATGTAGCTGTGGCACTTGGGGACATGGTTTAGTGTTGAGCTTGCTGGTGCCAGGTGAATGTTTGTGCATGATGATCTTAGGGGTTTTCTCCCACCTAAATGATTCTATTAATTCCTTTTAATTTTGGCTACTTACACACATTTTGAAATGAGGATCTAAATTTATTTTAAATTAAATAGCTATGTTGCCCAAAGAAGGTAAGTTTTAAAATTCCTAGGGCAGTTAGTTTTACATCTTGGCCCATGACTCCAGGCACTGAGTCTGTCACTGTATTCACACACTGTAATTTATGGACCTCTGCCACTGTTTCCTATTATATGATGCCTTAATTTAGTCCATTCCATTAACTTACAGGTTAATAGTGAGTTGCCCTTCATCCTCTTTTCCTCCTACTAAACTACTTACTCATTCATGCACCAGAATCACTTAAGGAGCTTCATTTATAAGAAGCATTTTTAAAACAAATGAAGCAGAGCGTAAGTCTCAACTGGAGCCTAAATTGAAGGCTGTAATGCTTATTCCTGAAGTCTCCTTGCTATTCCAGCCTGATTAAATCTGAAACTTTGGTGCTTTATGGATGCAAAGTGCTTGGAGGCAGCTCTTGGTAGGGGAATTGCATGAACCAGCCGGGGTAGAAAGCTTTAAGTATTTGTTTAAGTTATTTATTTACAAGGTCTATTGCTTTTCTAATATTCTTTTCTTGTTCTAGTACTATAGTGGCAAGAGTGTGGTACTCTGTGAATGTACTTCATGCATCATTAGGCAAAGACACACAAACTGGCCAGAGAAGTTTGATTTGAAGGAGTAGAGACTGGATGTTAAATCCAAAAGAGTATAGGGAGATCAGTCTAAATTGAAAAGGGTATTTTGATGTGAGAACTTGTAGCTGAAAAATGTACTTCTTGAATGATACCCAGTAGCCAGGAAAAGGCTTTTTCACAAAGTTGGATTTCATTAACTGATTGGAGAGGTTCTGATCATACCTCTCTCCTCTGAAGTTGTGTCCAGCATTTGCTTCAACTTTGAGATACCTCCTGAAGGTAATTCAGCTCTTTAATCCCACATAGCTACTCTAAGATGGGAGGAAGCATTGGCTAAGGATGAATCTTAAATGGGCTTTTCATATTAGATCTGAAATAATCTCTTCGTTTAAAGGTGCCACTAGAATCTGCACCTTTTCTGAAAATCTAGTTGCCACTTATGAGTAACTCAAATAGCTTTAGGTTCTAGTCTTTCATCCCATGATTTGCCTCTCACAAAGGTTTCACTACAATTCCTGTTCCTTGACAAAATGCGAACAGGTAAATGATTCCTGCAAGCACAGCATCTGTACTAATGTCTGATCAAAACAGCCAGATGGATGCTGCTGGGGTGGCTTTTCAGTAGCATTTTCTTTATTCAGCAGGGAGTCCATTTCTTGGGGTTTACCATTTCTAGGTATTCTTTAAATGCTAATGTAAATTCAGCTGAGCTCCATTGTTTAGCTGAATATGTAATTACCACTGTTGGATTTTTAGGAAAGGGACTACCTTAATCCTGTCTAAACTAGTACAGCTTCACTGAAAGCAGCAAAGAACATGATCTTTAATAGAATAATTGGAGTGGTGTAAGAACCTTCGGGATCAAGAGCTGCAAAGAGGCTGGTAAAATGCTGAATAAGCTAGATCAGTTTCAGGCAAGCACATTTAGTGTGAACTTCCCTTAAACACACTAGCAACTGCACGGACCTTAATTATCAGTCGTGTATGTTAATAATCTCATGGGCAGGGTTACTCAGGACTGTGCAGGACTAGACACCAAATGCTGTTTGATACCTCTCCTCTAAGTCTGTACTGGCCCTGAAAGAAATGTGAATTTAATTGCTAAAAATGTGTTGTGTTGGCTTTTTTCCTTCTGCCCTTCAGATGGTGCAAAACTTCCAAGACGAATCTTGTTTTGTTATCAGCACATTAAAAGGTGTGTATTGCTGCTGCTGTTACCTGTTGCTCTAAAGATAATTCTTCCTTTCAATTGCACTAAATGTTATCACAAACTCAATGCTGTTATCCTGAAAAGATAAGTAATCTAATCCAGTGCAAGTCAAGGTGTTGACTACACTATGATAGACTGATTGATCAGTGCTTTACTCTCAGTTACACTGTTACAAAAATTTCATAAATCCATTGACACCACTGACATAAATGAGCAGGAAATCTTTGAGTAAAATTATACAATATGGCAATATGTAAGTTTTTTTTATGTGAATTATTTGATTTAAATGTTCAACATTGTTTTTTATGAGTGGGTTGTGAAACAAATGTACAAACCATTGCAAACTACCTAAAAAAAATAATTTGAAGTTATGTATCTCTGGTGTTTCCTAAAAGCAATGAAAATATTCTTTGCATTTCTTTATTACAGCTGAAAGCAATGATGGCTACCACATCATTTTAAAATGACCGTGCTGCACAGAGACTTTAATGGCCTAAAATTTAGTGCCTCACTGAGATTGCTAACAACCTAGACTGGAAACATGAAGAACCTTCTGGATAAATGCTCCTGTGAACTAAGAATTACCAAACAGCTTAAGAAAAAACTTGCTTTTACAGATAGAAATTTTTGGTGGTGTGTGATTTTGGTGGGTTTGGTGTTTTTTGGTTTTTTTGTTTTTGTTTTATTTTTTTTGTTTGGTTTGTTTTTTGTTTTGGTTCTTTTGGTTTTTTAAGCTGGAGCTGAGAACATCCTCAAAGCTTGTACATGTTTTTTCCTTCCTCCCCTCCTCTTCAGTCTTAAAAATTGTAGAGGTTTCTGCTTTTTACTTAGAAACATCTGCCTTGTACTAAAAGGAAATGGAAGATAAACAAATCCCAATTCTCTTGACCCCTCATATTCAGGTGAATTGATTTACTTATGGTTCTGAGTGCTCTCCTGCTTTCAACACACACCCTGATGCTGATGGATGTAGACTCCCCAGGGCTCCTCTTGTACTCTTTGAGGTGGAAGGCTTGAGGCTACCTCCCAAAACAGACTGGGCAGTGCAGAGGATGGGTTTGGTGCCCAGCCTTCACCCAAAGTGTCGACTCTGGAAGCCCACACTTAGCTGTTCTCCACCTACAGATGTGCTCAAAGTCCAGAGACCTTGGTCTCTCCTGACAGACCTTCTGTAGGACCAATCCAGCAGCACAGTTCTGGGGGGGTTCAAGGAAGGACAGACAACTTGAGGCGAGCAGTTCAGTACCATGTTGTTATCTTTAGCTTTAGAGTAGCCTCCTTGAACGGAGCATATGGAGGTTTACTGAGGAACTGTTTTGAACACTGAAAGCTATAGTGCTCATGATAAATTCATACCATGGATTTATTCTACTCTACAAATTAGTGATTAACTGCTATCTTTACTGTAACTGGGAATTGATGTTATAATCTTAATGGATTTTCATCCTGTTACTGAAGTAAAACTGTTTTGATAAAGACCAGGTAACAGATCATCTTAGTTGCTGCTTCTTACATTCTTGCTCTTTCACTTTTCACTCCTGTTTCCCATATCTGTAACTATGATCAGCTCCACCCTGCCTTGGTCTTTTGGGACTCCGTCCAGGCTCCATTAATCTAAAAAAGTGGCTTCCACTGAAGTCAAAGGCAAACTGGATCACACCTTTCTTGCATGGATGAAACCATTTCACTTTTTACAGCTCAATAATATGGCTTTTTTCCCAAACTGGGTGTCTGTATTCCATCAAAAATTGATTTTTGAACATTTAATTTCATCCTGAACTTACATGGAAAGCTGAAATACCAAACATTTTCCTGGAATGGAAATTTTTTTAAAAAATGAGAAATTGTCAACTGGAAAACACTGAATAAAATGTTCCAGCCTTTTGAAATGGAAACATTTAATTAAATCCATTTGGCCCTTAAAGCAGCATCAGTTTGAGCTACCGTTGCAGCCCTCAGAAATTGTCATTCAAGTGCCTTGCGCGCTGTGTCTCCCTCAGGGCTGAGCTCTTTGGCTGAATTACAGATCCCATGATGCTCCTACCCTGGGTTAGTCAAACAGGGAATGCGTCATGAGGGCTGGAGAGGTGCCCAGGGAAAGAGGGGGCCATGGAGCCCTTGAATTACAGCTCCCAGCTGACACTAGAGGAATTCGGACAGGCACGGACTGATATTTCTCTGACAAAAGTTATGTGTTTCAAGTTTTCCCAACAGAAATAAACAGCAAAATATTGAGAAAAGCATCCTTTTTTTGATTAAAGCATCAAGTTTTGCGCAAAAAACCCCACCCATCCCCACTGATTTTTTTTTTTAAGACCAAAAATAATACTAGAATAGAAAACTTGTGTTACAATGGGAAAACCTTCAGCCAATTCAGTTAATTGAGCAGCAATGCCTACTTAGGCACGATCTTGCTCAACTGACTGTCCTGGATGCTCCACAAGTTGTAGGCATGCAAAAAGGATGCCTAAGCTTTGGCACATGGTGGACATTCCCCCTTCTGAAATGAAGGAATTGAGGTTTCTTGGTTGAGAACCAAAGTGTGTAGGTAAGGAGGAGCTCCTGGCCATGGAATCCAGGCTGTGGCCACACATATCTGCCTTCCAAAACAGTGAATTAATTCCAGATGCCTTTGTGAGCAGGTGGGATCAGTGTGCCCCTGTGTACCAGGAGCTGTTTGATTTATTTTCTAGAGGGTGCTTTGGAAGGTGGATGTTGGCTGTGGTTTTTCATCCTGCTCTGTAATACTGGCCCAGTGCATGGTATGGCTGTCACTGGTGCGCAGCTCAGATGAATCTGACCTTGTGGGAAGGGTTCTAAATAGATCTTGAAGTTTTCCATGTCATATCCACTTAGATGTGATAGCCCTGTAACTGGGGGGACACAACAATTCTGATACACAGTAGTGAAGAAGGGATAGAGGTGGCTTTGCTGCCTGAGTTAGGGAATGAGAACTGTTTGCTTGTTTTAAAAAGACTAATTTCTTGATTCTTTAAAAAACAGCTCTTGCCCATAATGAATGAATATAATGAATTATATACCAAAGTCCTCACAGTGTTTCAATAGCACTTGCTTGATTAATTTTGGACAAAAAGGAGTCTGTTAGGGCTTTGCTGTATTTAGATTTTTTAAAATAAAATAATTACATACTCATCTGAGGATGAATATGACAATGTATCTTGTTTTTATGCTCTAAAAAGGTACCAAAGTAAACAATCCCATAGACTATAAATATTTTTCTATGGGTTGGCTCAGTGTGAGCCTGTTGTAAAGCTGCACAGCTTGGGGGTGTGTGTGTAATACCTACCCTTATTTGACAGAGTAGTTCCAGTCCTTGTTGAACCTCTGTAGCCCCAGTAGGAAGTTGGAGGTTTGTGGCTGAGTAAAATACACATCCATTGAAGACACAGCATGGCTGGTTTTTTGAGTTACTTCAGCTTAGAATCATAGACCGATTTGAGTTGAAAGGGGCCCTTAAGGGTCACAGATTCCAAAGACTTGGTCCTTACAAGAGTACCTAAAACTGATCCCTGTGGCTATAAGTGTCATCCAGAGCAGCCCAGATGCTCCTTGAGCTCTGGCAGGCTTGGTGCCATGACCAGAGGCAAGGAAAGTCCCTGGGGAGCCTGTCCCAGTGATCAACCACTCTCCCAGTGAAGAACCTTTTTCCAGTGTCCAATCTGAACTTGCCCTGATTTAGCTTCATTCCATTCCCTTGCTTCCTGCTGCTGGTCACCAGCAAGAGGAGATCAGCACCTCCCCTCCACTGCTGCCCTTGAGGAAGGTGCAGAGAGAGAAAGAAAGACTTGTCTCACCTGTGTGTCAGGTAATCCTTGACTCCCCTTGGATCTCCCATCCCTGGAGGGACTTGTTTGACCTGTTTGTGGGAGTGACAGCACCTAGAAGGAAGTTTTTGTTTCCTCCACCAAAGGAAGCACAAATGTTTAGTCTGGGATAGATATCTAAATTCTAGATAGACTAAAGGCAAGGGAGGTGAGTAGCTCTCACTCATCTGTTGACCTGAGAATTAAACCTTATGATCTTGTTTTCATAGTTTCTAGCCACTTTCCCAGGAAAGTAACTATAAACATAGATGTTTATACATGCCATTAAAGAAATGTCTTTTGATGGACGTTTCTCACGACCAGTGTGATTGGGAAGGTGGTAACCTAACTATCCAATCCCTGGTCATTGTTGAGAATCTATAAATATTGCAATAAATCACTCTCTTTTCCCTATCATACATTGAGCTGTGTCCGTGCAAATCATTTCGTGTCCTACAGCTACACTCACTCATCTAAATAGCATTTACTTTTTCCTTAAGTGCCTATTACACTTATTTTTACTTTTTTTTATTGTTGTTGCTCCTATTCCTTTCTTAAAAAGTAAGAAAACCTACTCAAAGTGATTTAACTGGAACTTTTTCCAGCTATATGTGAAATTTGTGCAGCAGAACTTTATAAGGACTGGGGCTTAGGATAACAGTGAGTAACATGGTTTCCCAAGCTGTCCAGTTCTTCAGTTGTATGTATGATGACAGCCACTATGAGTAAAAGTGGGCTTGCTGGGGATGAAAAGGCAGAATCATTATGTGATTAATACCAATATGACTCCAGTGAGTACTGCGAAGTATAAACTTGCATTCTTGTTGGATCTGTACTGTCTATTTGAAATTTCATAAATTGTAGCATTTTATCTATCAACAGAATCAATAGGAGATCAATTAATATGACTCTGGTGATGTCCTGAAAACTCACAGTAATGCCCATGATACACAACCACAGGGCAGGAAGAGGGCAAGCGATCTGGTGATAAAAATTTGGCCACCTGATTGAGGTGGCAGGATTGGTGCTCTTAAAATTAAAGCTCCTGTTCTTTCAGCTGGCTAAATTAATGGTTAATTGGCTAAAATAGAAATAATCATTCAATATGGAAAATACTGGAGTTCTCATTGTCTTAGTGTGAAATTTAATGGGCTGAAGTTTCAAGACTGGGAGGTGGTAAAAGGATTCTTGCATTTGAGAAGCCCTGAATGGCACTCTCCTTATAATGTAACATATACATATATATGCATATATATATACATATATATCCACATACATACTGTACTGTATCAACACATATTTGTGCTGAGTACATGTGTTCTTTGGCTTTAACTGGTACTCTGCTTTGTTTAGTTGCAGTTCAATGTAAAAGACTCTGGTTGATCAAGCTTCAAAACCCTGCCATTCCTTGGGTAGAAATGTAAAAGTCCATAGTAGCAACTAGGTGATTTGGACTCAGTACACTTGGAGTGATGTAAGTTCGATGAATTTCTGCAATATAAATCCCAGGCCTTGGTGAAGATGAGCATATTCTTTCACTAACACTGCAGTTCTACATTGCAGCTTCTGAAAATTAGTTAGAGAAACAGAGAAATAGATTGCCCAATGCTTTGTGAACTAAGGCTACTCCATAAGCAGAACAACCATACGATGACTTTTCCTAGCTCAGTGTTGTATTGCTTAAGCATTGGCTGTAATTCTAACAATCATCTGGTGGATGACTGAAACAGGTTTTGTCTGTATCTGTTGGGATTTTTTTGACTTCTCAAAGAAATGCTTATATTCAGACTGTAGCTTCTCTTCCTCCTCCAGTTATGAAACGGTTAACTTTATGCTAGTAATAGAAATATTTTCATAAGATTATAATCTGTTTGACAGCACAGGGTACTCAGAGTGGGGAGTGTTTGGCTTTGATCATCACTACTGTGGGTGAATATGAGAAGGCAGACTGGAGGTGTATCTAACATGCTTGGCTCTCTCTAACAAGTGGGTTAAGCTAGTGCCTAACTTTTTGTGCATTTTTGATTTGTACCTTTTTTTTGCCATTCCCTCAAAATTCTGCTCCCTGGTGGGGGATGCATTGGTGACCAGACAGTATGCCCAACTTTTTAAAGTAGCCTGCTGTTGTTCTGGTTTGCTTGGGGTGAGCGTTTATCTTTCAAAGAGGAGTTCCCTCTCTTCATTGACAATGCAGTTGTTACAAGCAGGCAGTGCTGGCCACAAAATTGGCATGATAGGCAAGGGCAAGTGGAGGTGGGTCGATGGGAGGCTGAGGTGTACCAGTTGTGAGTAAATACTGCCACACTCTTCATCTTTTCGTGTGTTGGTTTTTGGGGTTTTTTTTTGTACGTGAATAAATAATAATAATAAAAAAGCATATTTTGCACTGGCTCTTGTACTGTTGTGCAGAAGAAATCTGTATCTAGAATCTGTGCTCCAGTCAAAATGCAAATAAATCTGTTTGTAAGAAGCATGGGTTTGGTCTCTGGTTTGTTTGGTGCGGTTGTGGACAGGAGAGCCTTGGCATCGGCTGCTGCTCAGCCTGCAGCTGCGAGGGGCTGGGCACCCTCTCAGGGTGAGGGGGACCAGAGTTTGCAAAGTGCTGGCCAGAGAACATCAGCTGCAGCCAAATGTCCTGCAGCGTTTTCTTTGAGTTGGGACTGACTTCATTTCCCCACAGCACAAGGCAGTGACCAGTTTGTGTTTACTCTGGGTCAAGGCACGAGGAGCAGTGCCTCGTTCCTGCAGAAGCAGTGACAATGGCCATATGCTTTACTGAAGGCACCAGCTGTGTCAGATGCCAGCTGGCTTTGGTCTTGCAGTGCTCAGAAGGCACAGCCATTTCAGAGCCTAGTCCTCGCTGACATCAGAGATGAGCAGAGTCCCTCCTCACAGCAATGCTCTGTCCCATTGAGCAGCTGTGAGACACATGCTGGCAGTGAGGTTTGGATTGTGAAGCATTCACAGTGGTTTGGCTGGAAGAATTCCAGTATCCTCTAAAGTTTAAACCATAGATCTAGTAACTTACATAGCCAGGAAATTAGCAGATGGTCAGTCATTTTCCAGTTGGAGAAGATGGACCCAGTGTGGAGATAGTATCTTCCAGCAGCCAAACACCATGTCAGGGCAAAGTACTGAGAATGGATGTACAACCAATGTTAGGGTGCTCCTTAATCTGAATTGACCTCAAGCAATTTCAGCTCCTTTGCTGACAAAGTATTTAAATCACAAAATTAGAAAACTCATCTTGGCCCTGTAGGTATGTATAGCAATTCATATGCAAAGTATAAGGGCACAGACAATGTTCCTACATAGACGTTCAAGAGAATTTAATGTTTTTTCCTGCCAGTCACTCAGGCATCCCTGGGATGTCTACCCCAATTTCTATTAGCTTAAAATTCCTCTGGAGGTAGAAGTCCAGCCACCTGAGGCCTGATACTGTATTCAAGTGCTCCATGTGTGGTCAGGCAGCATTGTGTCCCACAGGGCTGCTGGGTTCAACACAGCTTCAGTGTACACTCAAATCCACTTCCAGACTGCAGCAGGGGAGCTGGGTGGGTTGTTCCCTGAGGGCAGGATGCTGGTAGGCACCTGAGGGTCTCCAGGACTGGCTGCCAAGTGTGGGGTGGCCACTGGCAGTAAGTTCTTGGTGACTCAGTGGCTGTATGAGCCCTGCCAGCTGCAGGGGCCATCCCTGGGGCTTTTGGGATCTGGAGGTGAATCCCTCCCTGTGTCCTGCATGGTGTGGGTGCCAAGGGAGTGTCAGGTTCATGGATAGTTCCCACCAAAATCCATCCCTCTGGAAAATCAAAAACAATCCCTCTTCTTCTGTATGCTTAATCTGTGTGCTGGCAGAGGTTGGTCAATGCAGAAAGGAGCACTAGGAAGGTTTTTACCTAATGAAAAATGTTCAAGGGCAGGGAAAGTGGTAATTCTGTACAATTTAGTTTCTATGGGAAATACAAGTAAACAACATCAGAACAGACCCAGAAGTCAGCAGCAACTACAGGACTGGACAGGAATTGTTAAGAGCTCTTAATGACTGAGGAGAAACAAGACTTAGAACTGGAGCTGTTTAGTCAAAGCATTGGCATAGCCTCATCTAAATCCTCAACAGAAAGTAAACATTTAAAAATTAATTTTCTAATTCACAAAACAATGCAGTCTTTCAGTTAGATTAATCACAACTATGGAGCAGGCAGATAACACCTGTCATACTCCATCTGTATGGAAGCTAAATGCTTCCAGGCTTACCTGAATAGGAAAGATTTGACTCTGCTATAAATTAAATTGTTGAGGAATTTTTAGGATATTACAGCAGAGGTTGGTTGTCCTGATCAAACTGGAGTTTCAGACAAGTGCTGACACCCCTGCTCCCCAGAGATGTGTGGCCCAGGGAGGCAGGGTTGTCTTATCTTGTCACATCCTAAATCTTCTATTCTTGGCTGTTGCAAACAGTGCCACTATCTATTTTGCTGTCTAGAAAACCCTCAGTTCTGATTTATCTGATATTAAGTAATAAGCAAGTATGATGCAGCTGGAAAAAAGTTTGATTAGCAAGAATCCAAAATTAGCTGAGCACAGTAGTGCACTGAGAAATTATTTTTCCAATGGTGAAAATTTAAATGCTGAAGACTATGCTTTAGAGAGGAGACATGATAGAAATATTATGTTGGATAGACTTGAAAAAAAGCGATGCTGAGACTAATCCCTCCTTGAAAATATTTTCAAAGTCTAGTATCTCCCAGAAGAAAGAGTTCCTGGATGGGTTGGCACTACTTTGGGAATTAAGCTCCCCATGACCTTAACAGTTTAACTTGTAGTAGGAAAATAAGGGAAAAATTAAGCGAAAAGGTGAACACATGACTCAGTGCAGGTAGGAAATCCTGGCTGAGGGTGCATGGCCAGAGCATTCCTGGAAAGAAACCCAGTGCAAAGACTTGGAGGCCACAAACACTGAGCCAAGTGCATGCTGCTGCACAGTTGTCCCAAGGACAAAAACATTGTCCCAGAAAAAAATTATTTCAGAGCTGCCCACAGCTTCCCTTTTCCATCAGATTCACCTCATTTCATGACAGTGCCTACGAGGCCACAACTCTTGTTTCTTCAGCAACCATAGTTATTTACTGTCACATGCATGTCTTGAAAGAAACAAAGAAAAGAATGTGTCCCCGAATGAAAACATGGGGATAAATTTGTTGACTGTTGATGTGATTGCTGGGGAAAAAAATGGAGAGAC